GATGGGTGTGTGAAGGAAGTAGTCTGGCTTTGATAAGATGCACTTAGAGTGGGATGTGCACTGCTTTTCCTTTGTTTTTAATCATTGTGCTCCCAAAGAGAAATTCAATTAATTTAATTTATAAAGCTCCAATTCACAGCAACAGTCACCCCACGGTGCTTTATACTCTAAGAGAAAACCCAAGAATCAGATGATCACATTTGAGCAAACACTTGGTGACAGTGGGGAGGAAAACCTCTCCTTTAGGAGGAGGAAACCTCTGGCAGAATCGGGCTGTGAGAGGGGCGGGCATCTGCTGCGACCAGCTGGGGGTGCAAAGAACAAGGAAGGAGGGTATAAATCACGGGCCATCGTTCTCCTTTAATTAGAGGAAGTTGATAAAAATGAAATACATGACATGGTTAAATAACATAAGAGTCTGCAGTCAGTTCTTCAAACACAGGCATATTTATAAGAATAATATAGACCATAAGTAAATAACAGTATATAAATAAGACAGAAAAATTATCTACAAATATGGAAATAAAATGTATTCAATTACAGAGCAGTTTCTCTGCTTTCTTAGTTTTTGAAGATTTTAGAAAACCTGGTTTTACAAAGACTTGATACTTGATCGTGATCTATAGAAGGAAGTTGGAGCAGAGATAACAGGGACGTGAGGAGAGGGCAGAGAAAATCGCTGAAGGTGGGGGTGAAACTCTGATGTGCAAAGAACAAACGAGTTAAAACAACAGGTTTAACTCCGCCTCCTCCTGCTCAAACATCATCAAATCACACGATCTGTGCTCCTCTGACACCTCCAGCAAACCCCCATCACTCTGACCTCCATCCCCCTTCATGCCACCCTGCATCACAGCCCCAGATACCACCACGCCCCCAGTTAGTCAGACCAGCCAGCACAGCCAGTCAGGTGAGAAGATAGTTGAGAAGCTCAGAACATTGACCCAACACCACAGTTTGTAAATTGATCTTTGACTTGTCAAGATCCTTTAAGACGATTCAGCCTGCTGAGTGTTGGGATGAAGGTGGAGGCTACATGTTTCTCTTTCTATGCTTCATTTCATAAATTCGCTTTGTTGTGAGTCGTATTTATGATTTTATGACAACTACATTTTCCTCCACGATTAATAAAGTTTCTCCGTGATGTTGTTTTTTATTAGGTTTGATGTAGTGTTCTGTGGTAACAGGAGTTGTAGGTGCACATTACGGTAGAAAGAAACCACTTCTATATTTGGTGAAAAGTTAGCGACTGTTCACACATACGGTGTGTCATCTGTCAACAGAGAAGTGAGACGTATCCAATGTGGGGGTGACAGAAGTACTGTAGCATGTTTCTGCTTCAGCCTTGGTTGAGTCTGATATGATGCATTATATATATCAGTGACTTTGATTGTTTTGCTTTCAATAATAACAAAAGGACAACTTTGATTTGCTGATGATCATTCAGAGATTTTCCATCACAATGTCAGGCGAGTTCTTCAGAGGAGGCGGTGATCAGACTGCTGCTGCCCTGAAACCCAGAGGGTGGATGTGCTGTGAAAAGCATTTAATACATCGTGATTTGTGACGTTTGTCACACTTGGACAAATAAAATATTGGAAAAAGACGACGAGAGTCAAACCAAAGTACACTTTAAAAATAATGATTTTATTTCTTAAAGGAAAACACTCGCGCAATGCTACCTGCTTTAATACGTACATGTACAAATATATTTTAAAATCAGGTCTCAAGTGTGGATCATTCTTCTTTGAAATAAGTTATTTTTATGATTAATGATTACAAACATATACAAACAAAAAAGATTTTTATTTTGGCGAAAGTACAGAAAACATGATCACCATCACTACCCCCCCACCGCACGCACACCATGTGATCAGACACACAATCACACAGAAGAAGAAGCACTGCTGTGTCTCAGAGCGTGCAGAGGTGTTCAGCTGTGAAGTCGGATCGAGGCAAACAGGTAACACACACACCACACCACACACACACACACACACACACACACACACACACACACACACACACACACACACACACACACACCTGCTGTTAAAAGGAATCAATCACTCAAACTATAACAGATCAGTCAGATTTTCATCGTCTTTATTCTCATAGAATCTAAGTTATTTGCCTTTTTTAGTGTTCTGCTGCGACTCTTTCGCTTCCTCCTTTTTGGCTAAACTAAAACATTTTTGACATGAAATTTGTTTCGGTCATTTCTTCATTTTAATTAAATCAGGTTTTCCACCTCATTTGCATTTTTCCTGACTGGCTGAGAGATGTGGACACACTCAAAAATAATATTTATGTTCAAAACTCTGACTTTGGGTAATTAATCATTGTAAATTTGTTACATAAGAACAATATAAAACGTTTAATCTGGTGAAATGTAGTTGATTGATATACATTCAGTATATACCAGGATTATTGTCCTTAGTAATATAATTTTATTAAATCAATAAACCTTTGATTTTACATATTTCAGCTGCATTTTACTCAGAATTATTGCTTCATGTTTGTGAGGGATACTAATCCGTTTTTGAGTGTACAGATGTTTTGCAGCTGTCCTTATTGGTTCCCTCTGCTGCTTAGATAAACAGCTCTGCTTGCAAATGTTTATTAAACCTGAAACTGTCCTTTAACATTTTGTGTATTTTATGGAATGACTGACTTAATGAGTGGCAACATGAAAACAAACTAAGAAGTCCACTTTTGAAGTGGATGAAGAATCTCTTTCCTATGAAAAGATCCTTAAATTGACATGTTACATGTTACATGTTACATGTACGCTGGTACTGTAATCTGTGACATTAACAAGGGTCTTAGTTTGAGTCCAGAAGAGCGTTTCAGTGAGCTAAAATAATGCTGTCCACTTTTTATTTTTAAGAAAACGCCAATATTGTTTAGTATTAACATGTTTTTAACACGTGTTTGAGTCAGTCGACTTTTCATTTTTAGCTCATAAAATCAATTTTCGTGATAATTCTGAGGCTGAGTCCTCTCTAAATCCTGTTACTAACCTTCTGAATCCACTTAAAACACAAACATTTATCTTTTAAACCTCGTTTGTCCAAAAACAGATCGTCCACGTCAGAGTTACTTTGCTCTTGCTGTCTTGCTGCACTTCCACATTTATCTTCACTTTCAGTGATTTCTGATATGTAGTTTTTCCACCTCTAAAGTTTTGGACCAGGTCGTTTTAGTTCATCGTCTTAACAGACTGTGAAACTACTCACATCAATATTCTTGTTCATGTTCACACAAAGAAAAGCAGAAGAAAAGTTCAGATACTCAAGAATGAAACAAATGACAGGAAACGTATAATACACGATGACTGCTTAGAAGCTTGGCATGAATGTTTTCAGTGCTTGTGAAGAAAAACTTTAGTTTGCTAACTCAATCAATATTTTATTTCTATAGCACATTTAAAAAGGACAGTGTCCATCAAAGTGCTTCACACAAGGTAGCAAAACAGAAACAACAAAAGCAACAAAAACAGTTAAAAACAATTAAAACCAGTTACAGTTACAGTTACACAGCACAACTGCAGACCGGGAGGAAGTCCAAACTAACTTGCTTCAAATGGAACAGGTGAGTTTTTAAGCGTGATTTAAACGATTGACTGGAATCTGACATGCGGACATCGGACATGCCAGTGTAGCTTGGCTAGAACAGTAGTGATGTCATCATGCCCTCTGGTGCCAGTTAAGAGGCGTTTTGAACTAAACGCTGGAGGAGAGAGAATTGGAGGTCCACGTACAGAGAATTGCAATAGTCTAGTCTCGAAGTAATGAAGGCATGGATGAGCTTTTCAAGGTCTTGATGTGGACTGTAAGGCTTTGCTTGGAGATTTGACGTAGCTGCTGTCTGTCTGCATCATTCTGAACAACAGACCAGAGAAACACATCAAAGTTACAAAATAATAATTCAATAGTTGATGCACAACAGCTTACTGTGTTTCTGGCATCTGAGCTGTGCAGACCATTGTTTTTCTGGAGTTCTGGGGACACAGTGTAAAGTATTTAGTATTCACTGCTCATCCAAAGACTTACTGTATGATACTGCATGTGTCTGTATAAGCAAGTTTAGCACAAGAGAGCTTAAAAGCATCTTTTCCTCTCTCAGGTCAGTCAGTCGGTGGACTTTCAGCAGTGACATGATGGCAGCAGCAGCACCTGGTGAGTCCAGACAGACTGCAGGTGAGACCTGCAGCCTGCTGAGATCAGATTCATTCTTTATACTGACAGGAGTGTGAAAATTGGTTGGCACTGTTGGCCTTTGGTAACTTACTGTGATTCTGACCATGCAACACACCTGTTCACCTGTTGGAAGAAAAAAAAAACCCACATCATGATAATAATAATTCTCTGTTTTGTAAACAGAAAAAGAAATATGATGAGTTTTTTTTCCACTTTTTGTTGAATTAGTTTTCTCTTAAAAACAAACATAAAAAACATTTATGTTCAGCACATAAATCAGCTCCAAATGAAACTTGAGACTCTGCACACTAAACCACCAGCTTCAACCAGAGAGAAGAGACTCGTCACTGAACTTTTCCAGGACGGAGGTTGCAGGAGTGATTCACACATTTACACTCAGCATTATAATTTGCTGCTTTAAATTTCTGAATAACCTGAAGCTGGTACAGGCAGAGCTTTATCCTCTCTGAAGCAGCCGCTGAGTCGAGCTGTGATGCTGAGTTAGAGTGCAGCCCTTTGATGAACCTTCGTTGGCTTTGCATGAACGCCTGCTCAAGGAGGCGTTTCAAGAAACTTGCTATGGATTGCACAAGTTGTGTTATGTGTTACACTAATGCACTAATGTGACGTCCATAAAGTTTCTCAAACTCACATTGAACTGCAGTCAGGGACTGAAAAACCTGCTAAGCAGCAGCTTCGGTGTAAGAACTGTAAAGTCTGAGCTTTCACTGATGCCCAAGCAATGATTATGTACACACACACACACACACACACACACACACACACACACACACACACACACACACACACAGAGTGTTTATTTACTTATCTTCGCTGAACATAAATGATTTTAGGAGGAAATAACATTTAATGAGCTAATTGAATTATGATGATTGATGATTTAATTTTGATCATTTTCATTTTGTACTGATGTGAGCTGTGAGCTCTGACAGCTTGGATTAAATATTGATCTGTATGTGTTGAAAGTGTCTGTGTAAAGGTGATGCCAGAGCAGTTAACAAACTAAACTTACTTTTGCTAAACTGAAATTTTTTAAAAAACTTTATTCCCGTAGCATTTGTAGATTCTCGTGTTTTCAGCCTGAAATTGTAAATTGGAGCACACTGATTCATGTTTCTGTATTTTTGCAGATGATGATTTTAACAAACCAGAACACAGCAGCTCAGAGTCTGAGGACTGTAAGTCAAACTAACAACATTTCATATCATGAATAAAATAAGAGAAGCTGGTGGATTAGAGGAATGAAATGTTATGCCAGGAGCTTTCTTATTTAAAGAGAGAACGAAGCATCTATTAAATCCTGCAGCCTGATTTCCTGCTTATTTGTGAGTCCAGTAGTTACAGGTCAAAATCTTGAATGCATTGAATGGGAAATTAAATTGATTAAATATGTATAAGTATATTTCTGTTTTGTTCATACTGTTAATATTTTTGAAGAAATTGAGTAAAAATGCTCAGTGACCGTGGAAATCACCAGCTGGTAGTGAAGCCGTACACGTGTCCTTGTGCAGTTGAAATAATCCACAAAAGTTGCTTTGTAGCTGAAAACAAACGCACAAATATTAATTTCCACAAACTTGAACTCACATGAATGTTGCTGTACGCTGCACGACAAAATTATTTAAACTGTTTGACTCCACAGCGAGTCACAGTCAGTGTTGGGAAGGTTACTTTTAAAACGTATTCCACTACAGATTACAGATTACATGTCCCAAAATGTATTTCCTAACGCATTCTGAATACTTTGGATTACTTTGTAAAAAGCATGATAATGAATGAACTATTGCTGTGTGATTTATTACTATTACTGCAGGTTACTCTCCACACCAACACCAGCTACATGTTTAAATCTTGATGTAAATGAGTAACAGTAGGTGGACATTAGGTAAGGCTGCACTTTTTGCAGTGATCTCGTATAGAAAACTATTCCTCGCGTATATAAAACAGGTCCGCGGCTCCGAACCGTAGCAAAGGGACCTCTGGCTAATACGTCGGGTTCGTGTCGGGCTCGTAGCTGAAAACTAGCTTTACTTTGTTGTCTGGGTTGTTTGCTAGCAGAGACAGAGAGAGGCGTTGAAAGGCTGCTGCAACAGGACTTATTGTTTCAGAGAAAACAGGAACACAGCGTACAGTCGAGTCTTAACAGCTTACTCACAGCTGGGCTCGTCAGGCTGCAGTGGTTGTTATTATATTTACATGCTTCCAGCTCCCGTTTCTGCTCCGTGACAAGTTGTACTTTTCCTTTTTCTCCCTCCCTCGCACTCACCAAAAATATTACCAAATATAGAGAGGACAGAGTCTCATGACACAGGAAAATACCGCAGTGTAATCCATTTATTTCAACAAAGTAACTGTATTCTGAATACCACCTTTTTAAACGGTAACTGTAACGGAATACAGTTACTCATATTTTGTATTTTAAATACGTAACGGCGGTACATGTGTTCCGTTACTCCCCAACACTGGTTACAGCCTCTACAGTGCAGAGGTGCGACTGCCCAGCATGGGCGTTATTACAGCGGATTAAAGCAACAGCAACTAAAAAAGTAGAAAAACACTAAATAACCATGAAAATGATGCTAAAATGTGATTTTAAAGTAAAATGAATTTCCCCATTTATTTAAGTGTTTCCTTATCTATAACCATTGGAATCTAAATTATTACCAATATGTACATCTTACAACGTGGATAAAATATTAGACATTAACAGGCTAACTTTCGTCTCCTACATGTTTAAACTGTTTTAGACTGAAGAGCATAATCGTTTCATTTCTTTTACAAAAGGAGAAGAAAATGTGGTTAAAACATCACAGAATGAGGCATGAATATTATAGTTTCTACAAAAAAATCAATGAATAATTTAAAAATGTGTGTTTAAAATAAACTCAGTGTTTCAGAAACTGAACTTATTTTTCAGTGTCTGAGCTCAGGGTGGTTCTCCTGGGGAACAGCTGGTCTAAGAGGAGCTCAGTGGGCAACTTCATACTGGGAGTGACTGTGTTCAGCTCTGAGGATAAAGCAGACCTCTGTCTGAGAGTCAAAAGGGAGCTGAAGGGGAAAGAAATCGATCTCATCAACACTCCAGATCTGCTGTCAACTAAAATCTCCCCAGAAGATCTGAGGAAACAAGTTGAGGACTGTGTGAGACTCTCTGCTCCTGGACCTCATGTGTTTCTGCTGGTCCTCCAGCCTGCAGACTTCACTGAGGATCACAGACAGAGGCTACAAAGAGTCCTTGAACTCTTCGGTGATCCATCATTTGATCGTTCACTGGCTCTGATAATGCCCAAAGACAAGAGTTCAAGTTCCATTGAAAAGTATCAGCAGCATCCACAGTTAGGAGAGATTATCAAGAAATGTAGAGAAAAATTGTTGTGGCAGAAGAACCTGGAACAAGAGCAGCTGTTAGCAGCCATAGATACAGTGGTGAAGAAGAGCATGAGGGAGGAAGTTTCCAGTGAGGAAACATCGGTTTCACCCAGTCAAGATGAGGAAGAAAAAGTCTCTGCCAACTTGGATCTTATTAGGGGCGGTGAGTCTAAAACTGTGTTTTCTGTACAGTATAATGTGATGGTCAGGTTTGTAAAACTGTCTGGAAACTCGTGACAACTGCTGGCTCACTACCTTTCTGAAAGAAATCCTGGAGATGACTTTTTTTTTAAATGATCCAACTCTTAAATATAATCCCGTCCACATGTAAACGCTAAAAATGAAATGTTGGCCAATCGGAAGTATAGAAGCCTGGGACGGAAAGAGTAAACAGGCCTTTGTATCCTGACAAAACCTTCAGTACTTCTGAAAAGTTTTTGTTTTTCTGAAAGGCAGCTAATTTTGTGTTATTTTGCAAGTGCTTTCATTATTTCAAATGTTAATAACTAAAGACAGTATTTTGGCTGTTGTGTAGACTCACACGTTGGGAATGAACCACATGCATAGAGCATACAGAAATGTAACTGAAAAAATATTAGATTTATTCAAAACGGACGTCGGGATTTGGGTTGTGACAACGTCTGTGTTGAATGTAGAAACCACGTCCGAAGTTCACTCTGTCTTTCTTAACGGAGGGACAGTAACTGTGTGTGTAAGCCTGTGAAAACTGCAGATAGTAAGATTAACAGCAGATAGACAGTATTTTGTCTTTATCCGCCATTGTTGAAATTCATCTCATGTAAACAATAACGTGGCGCACAGCGTGACGTCAAAAACGGCGCACACCATTGATGTTGCGTGAGTAAATTGAAAATCTTCACCCTGGCAGGAGTTTTTTAAAATCTCAGCTGTCAGTGACCCAGAATGCTGTTAATGTGTAGATGAAAGGCCCAAATGCATAGAAAATACCGTATTTTCAAAAACACCCGTGTACGTGTGGACGTAGCCTAAGGTACTGTTGGTAAGAAAGGTGTTTAGCTTGATAACAGTTCTAGGAAACTATTTTAGAAAGTCATGGATTACGGAGAGGTGAGATCATCTGCATCTAGCCGTGAACTTTCCAACTTCAGTTCAGGTTTGAACGATTCCAGTTTGATAGAAGGTGGAGACCCTCTTCCAACTGTGGACCATGGCCTTTGATTTAGAGGTGCTGATTCTCATTCTCGCCACGTCACACTTGGCTGTGAACTGTTGCAATGCGAGCTGGAGGACACCACCTGACGAGTCAAACTGATGAGAAACACATAATCTGAAAAAATAAGCAGAGACGAATTTGTGCCTTCCACCACTGGACTGCACCTAGAAATTCTGTCCATAAAAATAATGAACTGGATTGGTGACAAAGGGCAGTCCTGCTGGAGTCCAACACCCACCAGGAGTCTGACTTGTTGCCAGCAGTGTGGACCCAGCTCTAGCTATGGTTGTAGAAGAATCAAATGGCTTGCTGCAACAGGTAAAACACTCCATACCCCTGAAGAACTTCTCACAGAATACTCTGAGGGACACGGTCAAATGCGTTCTCCAAGTCCACTAAACGCATGTAGACGAGTAGGGCAAACTTCCATGCACCCTCAGATATCTCTGCGAGGTTAAGAGCTGGTCCAGTGTTCCGTGATTGGGACTACAACCACATTGTTCCTTCTGTGTCCGAGTTTTGACTAAAGCATGGACCTTCCTTTCCATCATCCTGGAATAGACTTTCCTGGAAGAGGTTGAGGAATGTGATCCCCATATACAGTGGCTTGCAAAAGTATTCGACCCCCTTGAACTTTCCCACATTTTGTCACATTACAGCAACAAACATGAATCAGTTTTATTGGAATTCCACGTTGCATTTCTGATCAGCGCTCTCCTTGTTCGGCCTGTGAGTTTATGTGGACAGCCTTGTCTTGGTAGGTTTACAGTTGTGCCATACTCCTTCCATTTCTGAATGATGGCTTGAACAGTGCTCCGTGGGATGTTCAAGGCTTGGGAAATCTTTTTGTAGCCTAAGCCTGCTTTAAATTTCTCAATAACTTTATCCCTGACCTGTCTGCTGTGTTCTTTGGACTTCATGGTGTTGTTGCTCCCAATATTCTCTTAGACAACCTCTGAGGCCGTCACAGAGCAGTTGTATCTGTACTGACATTAGATTACACACAGGTGCACTCTGTTTAGTCATTAGCACTCATCAGGCAATGTCTATGTGCAACTGACTGCACTCAGACCAAAGGGGCTGAATAATTATGCACACCCCACTTTGCAGTTATTTATTTGTAACAAATGTTTGGAATCATGTCTGATTTTCGTTCCACTTCTCACGTGTGCACCACTTTGTGTTGGTGTTTCACGTGGAATTCCAATAAAACTGATTAATGTTTGTGGCTGTAATGTGACAAAATGTGGAAAAGTTGAAGGGGGCAGAATACTTTTGCAAGCCACTGTAGTTGGAGCACCCCCTTATGTCCACCTTGTTGAGGATGAGAACCCCCACCCCGGCTTACCAATCTAAAGGCTCTCAATGAGATCCTGTAGAGGTGTGTGAACCAAGACAGCCCTACAACATCCAGAGCCTTCAGGAACTCAGAGCAAACCTCATCCACCCCAGGGGCTCTGCCACCAACGAGTTGTATAACTGCCTCTGTGTCCTCACCTACAGTGAGGGATGACTTTGTCCCTGTTGTCCCCAGACTTTGGTTTCTGGAGGCAGCAGCCTAAGCAGAGAACCTCACACCTTGCTCTTTCTCGACAACTCCTCTAGCTTATCCGGTGGAATACCAAAGCATTCCCAGGCCTCATGCACTAGCTCAGGCTCCTTCCCCACCAGAGAGGTGAGAGTCCATGTCCAAGTCACCAATCTCTGTAGCAGGGATCAGTCTGCCAGTGTCTCCGTTCTTAGTACACACATTGCACCCGACCTCTATGGCATCTTAAGATGGGTTACCTAAAGGAGGATGGGCCTATGTTCCTTCTTCAGGTTGCACCCGGCCAGGCTCTATGGGCTAAGGCAAGTCACCAGATGCTCTCCCTCGGGTCACCTCCCATGTCCTAGCTCCAAAATGGGGCCCAGGTAACCGGATGCCTGACAGGGTAAACTGTTCCCTTGGTCTGGTAAGGGTCTTATAAGGGTCTTCTAAATGGCTTAGTGTCTGGTCTCTCACTCAGGGCCAACTTGTAATGGGACACACAACCAGGTCGCAAAAGCCCCCCAACAGCATAGCACCTGGGATCCCTGGAACACACAAGCCCCCCCACCACGATAAGGCAGCGATTCACAGAGGGGCAGATGATATTAAAAGGTGATACTGGTTGTGCGCTGTGAGTAGAGAGTGCATCTGCAGTTTTCTTGTTATCGTGAGCAATCATCAGCTAACTGTTTTAGGAAAAATAAGTAAATGGTGGTGGTATTTAACCAATCAGGTGATCTTATTAATGTTTCAAACCCTGTAACAGAATGTAGTAAAACTGTGGTGACAAAAGTCTGTGTGTCACAATTTTAAAGGTAATTTACAAGTTTTATCTTTGTTTTTCAGCACATGAACTCAGGATAATGCTTTTTGGAAAAAGTGAGAACAAAAAATCATCCCTCGAAAAGATCATCATTAGAAAGAAAGAGTTTAATATGCCTAAAGTCCTTGGAGGAAGGCAATGTCGCGCTGCCTCTGGAGAGTGGAAAGGGAAACCGCTAACAGTAGTCAAAACCCCCGACATCTTCAGTCTGTCTGTGAAAACTCTGTTCGAAGTGATGAAGAGCTGTGTGAGTCTCTGTCCTCCTGGACCAAATGTTCTGCTGCTGTTAGTCAAACCTTCTGATTTCACTGAAGAGGACAGAAAAACTCTGAATTTGGTCCTGAGCTTGTTTGGTCAAGATGCCCTTAAACACTCAATGGTCATTATAACACAGAAAGAGGAGAAAGGCAATAACTCAGTGGAAAAACTCATTGAAGACTGCAACCAAAGGCAGAACTGGTTTGAAAAAAATTGTTCTGCTACAGATTATTCAGAGTTGATGGAAGAAATGAATGAGATAGTGAGTGAAAACTGGGGGAAATATCTAATGTTAAAAGAAGAGGCTAAACCCAATCTGAAGTCCAGTGTGAACCTGGTTCTGTGTGGGAGGAGAGGAGCAGGGAAGACGTCAGCAGCCAAGGCCATTTTAGGTCAGACTGAGCTTCATTCAGCCTCCAACTCATCAGAGTGTGTTAAACATCAGGGAGAGGTGTGTGGTCGTTCGGTTTCCCTGGTGGAGCTGCCTGCCTTGTATGGAAAACCTCAGGAGGCAGTGATGGAGGAATCACTCAGGTGTATCTCCCTCTGTGATCCTGAGGGTGTCCATGCCTTCATCCTGGTCCTACCTGTGGCTCCCCTCACTGATGAAAACAAGAGAGAGTTAGAGACCATCCAGGATGCATTCAGCTCTCGAGTCAATGACTTCACCATGATTCTGTTCACTGTGGACTCAGATCCTACAGATCCAGCTGTTGGTAACTTTCTAAAGGAAAATAAGAACATCCAGAAGCTTCTTCAGAGCTGTGGAGGACGATATGTTGTTCTCAACATTAAGAACAAACAGCAGATCCCAGATATGTTTGAGATTGTGGACAAAATTAGTCAGCCTGCAGGACAACTGTGCTGTTATACAACTGCAACATTTTTACACGCACAAATGGCGAAAGTCTTAAAGCTTGTCACTGGTAAGTAGTTTAGATTGTGATATTTTCCAATGACCCAGAGTTTTAATCCAGTATACAAGTGTTAACTTGTTCTTGTTTTCATGTTTTAGGTGATGAAGGTGGAGAACAGGACTCAGACTGTCTCAGGATTGTGCTGATTGGAAAGACTGGCTGTGGAAAGAGCTCTACAGGAAACACCATTCTAGGAAGAGACGAGTTTGAAGCTGAATCAAGTCAAATGTCGGTCACACAATGCTGTCAGAAAGCAAATAGTGAGGTGAACGGTCGTCCTGTTGTTGTGGTCGACACTCCCGGTCTGTTTGACACAAGTTTGTCCAATGAAGAAATTCAAGAGGAGCTGGTGAAATGTGTCAGTCTTCTGGCTCCAGGACCGCATGTCTTCTTGTTGGTGATACAGGTCGGCAGGTTCACAGCAGAGGAGAAGGAGACAGTGAAACTAATCAAGAAATTCTTTGGGAAGAATTCAGAAAACTTCACCAACATTCTTTTAACCAGAGGAGACGATCTGGAGCGTCAGGGAGAGTCTGTTGATGATTACATCAAGAAGAAATGTCACAGTTCCTTCAAGAAGCTGATCTCTGACTGTGGAGGAAGATACCATGTGTTCAATAACTCTGAGAAACAAAACCGCACACAAGTCAGTGAGCTGATAACAAAGATTGACACCATGGTGAAGGACAATGGGGGATCTTTTTATACCAATGAGATGCTGCAAGAGGCTGAAACTGCGATAAGGAAGGAAATGCAGAAGATTTTAAAGAAGAAGGAAGAAGAGATTCAGGAACAAAAGGCAGAATTTGAAAGAAAACATAAGGAAGAAATGGAGGCTATGAAGAAAAGAATGGATGAAGAAAGAGAAAAGGAGAGAATACAGAGAGAAAAAGAACTCGAAAAAATGAGAAATAAAATTAGAGAAGAAGAAGAGAAGAGAAAGCAGGAACAGGAAATCAGGGAAAAGGAGAAAAGGGAAAAGGAAGCTGAAGAAGAAAGACGCCGACAAGAGTTTGAAACAGAACTTGAAAAGCTGGACAAACAAATTCAGTCAGAAAAAGAGGCAAAAGAAAATGTGGACAGAAAACTGGAAGAAGCCAGAGAAGAGATGAGAAGAAAACAAGAGGAGTGGGAGAAAGAACAGAAAGAATGGTGGGACAAACAACGACAAGACGAAGACAAAAGACGAGAGGAAGAGAAAGAAAAAATGGAAAAACTACAGGAAGATTATAACGAAAAGCTGGAATGTGAAAAAATCAATAAAGAAGACGATCAAAGAAGAAGAGAAGAGGAAATAAAAGAACTGGAGGAAATTCATAAGAAAACTCTGGATGATCTAAAGAAGAAACATGAACAGGAAGCCAGAAAGAAAGCTGAAGAGTTCAACCAAGCCCAGAAGAAACACGTGGATGATTTAGCAGCTCAGAAGGAAGAACATAAGAAGGAAATTTACGACTTAGTGAGACGTGTGACCAAAAAGACTGACTATTCGAATAGGATCAAGAATTTAATGCAAAAACATGAAAAAGAAATGAGATCTGTGACAAATGAAGAGGGGATCGAAAACCTCCAGGAAGAACACGAAGAACAACTAAATAAGTTAATGCAAGAAATTTTGAATGAAGAGATCAAGGACGCGTCGACCTGCAGCATTTTATAAAGAGAAATCCACTTTTACAGCTGCTCTTTAACTGTTAGAGGACAGAAACAAACAACATGTGCAGACTTGTTGTTCTGCATGTTTTACACATGCTTGTTCATCACGACCACAGAAGAAGCTGCTGATTGGATATCATCTCAAATAGTTCAGTTCAGTTTTATATATATATATATATATATATATATATATACATATATATATATATATATATTAGGGGTGCAACGATACACAAAATTCACGGTTCGGTTCGGTTCGATACTTTGGTGTCACGGTTCGAAATTTTTTCGATACAAAAAAAATGTTCATGCATTTTTAATTTGTCATTTATTAAAATTATAAATATATATTTTAACTCAAAAGTACAGTTTTTAAATTTAACCCTAACCCTTGTGCGCGTTTTTTATTTTGACAGCGAATGCGCACCTGCGGACCACTTATGTGCAGCCCTGGTTATTTAGCTCATCATATTGCAGCCACAGAAATTCTTTTGTCCATGAAACCATAAAGCTGCACTTCCTTTTTGCCTTATAGTCTGATTTGTCATAACTTCTCCGTTTTGTGGTAAGCTTTTATTTGGCTGTCACTTCTTCACCCTGACCTGTCTTATTTGGCTCAGCAGAACTGAAATGCTTTTACACACTCACTCACATAAGCTCAGCGATTCTCTGCGCGATCAACCTCTCACATGTTTAAGCTGCGGGAGATTTCACTTGTCATGTTTGCATAGTAAGCTAACGATTAATAAGACGATGTCAGAGGAATTGGTGCGCAAATTATCACCACTCACAGATCAGTGCTGTCGCTCTCTATACACAGTTCGCGCGATTGCAAAGTGAAAGCAAAAAAACAAGCGCAAATTCAAACGCGACTTCAATATGTCACATATTGACAGTGGCTCACCGATGCCAATGACATAATTACCCAGCTACATTTCTGAAAGAATGCAAAAGCATTGACATATATTTTTCCTACAATAGCCCGACGGGCAGGGAAGAGATAGATTTTGGTAGCCCGACTGAAAAAAATCGCTAGCTCCGGGACGTCGGGCTAGCGATATTGCAAGCCCTGTATCTGATTGAGGAATCACTCATCTTTGGAAAAGAGAGTTTATTACAGAGAAATGGCTCTTTCCAAAATAAAAGCTATACTATCCGCTTCTTCTGGGCTATATTCTCAGCAGCATAAGGAGAATCATGTGCTAACAGCTGTCTAAATGACTCGGCTAAAGTTAGTAGCATGCTTGCTTTTTTTTGTCTGCTTCCACTTGTCTTTGCACTAGGATGATGTCGGCGTAAATGTGCAGTCATATTCGTTGTGTTCCCACTAGTGCTTTCAGGTTAATCTCGTTGAAATGACCTTAACGCCACAACACGGCAAATCTCCGTTAACGAGCTACCGCCGATCGCCCCGTGCATGGGGCTAGACGGCCAACACGTTAACGAGCTAACTGCGCTAACACACTAGTTCACACCAATGTAATTGAGCATTGCATGGCACATCCAACATACTGTTTTACTTTAGTCCATGACTCGCTTACCTTCAGGGTCATACGTCACATGAAAACCAAAATAATTCCAAACGCCAGATCTGAATGAGGGTCAATTTGCCTGTTGCAAGTAGAGCTTAACTTCTGTCTCGCTAGCTTGCCCTGCGCTCTTCCTTCTGACTATGCTGTCTGTGTGGAGCGCTCAGTGGATCTGCGCTGGACAGTGCAGCCTAGGCGGAGTAGTCGAACACAGATTCACTGAGCGCTCAACACAGACAGCATCGTCAGAAGGAAAATTGATAAAATAAATTACAAATGTTGTATTGTTCGATATATATGCATACCGAACCGAAAGCACTGTATCGAACGGTTCAATATCGATACGAATATCGTTGCACCCCTAATATATATATATACATATATATATATATATATATAGCACCAAATCACAACAACAGTCGCCTCAAGGGGCTTTATATGGTAACGAAAAGACGCTACAACAATACAGAGAAACCCTATGATCAGATGATCAAACACTTTGGTGACAGTGGGAAGGAAAAACTCCCTTTCACAGGAAGAAACTTCCAGCAGAACCAGGTTCAGGGAGGGGCGTGGCCATCCGCCCACTAACTCCACTCATAACCAATAATAATCATTTTGATTTACACGTTAACCTGCACTATGTAAGCAAAATTACTCATGTGGATGATTTTCTTTGGTTTGGTCAAAATCACCATTTGACCAAAATGTTTTTTTGCTTTTTTAATATTAGATTGTTGTTAAAAGGAATCTTGATGTTCTTTCATATATTGTTCTGTTGTCAATATTTGTGGTTTGATTATGATTGTTTTTTGTTTTTGTTTATTTTGCATAAATGTGTCATTAATAATAAACACAAGATGAATAAATAAACAAGTGAAAGAAAACTTAATGATTATTTTTCTTTCACTTATGATGAATAAATAATTTTAAAAATTTTGTTATAATTTAACCTGTTCTCTCCAAATATCACAGCAGTTATTCATTATAAAAACATATCTGCATATCATTTACACCAGTTTTATGGCAGAACTAAGATGTTATCCGTGTTTTCTTTAATTATTAATGTAAACAGTTTTTCTCTGTAATCAGCTCTGATTGTTGTTAAATGATGAAGTCAAACATCTTCATTCAGCTCTGAATTTATGTGTTTTTAAATTACTGAACTTGCAAAATTACATGAACTGCTCCACCTATGCTGACATATTTGATTTGCATAAGTTTTTGTCTATAAGGTAAAATGTGTATAACCTGTATTATGGTAATTAGTGATTGTAATGTGCACAACAAAGTCCTGATAAAGAAACTGTTGCTAATAAAAACAAAGGTTGGAATTTTAAGCAAAGTTTGAACTTGTTTCTTGAGTCGTACTGTGGCAGCATGAGTGGGTTTATGTTTTTGGTGCCTTTTCATTCTCAGCATCGTTGCAGGTAAATGCAGGATCCCTGAGTGGTCAAAAAACATTTGGTTTTTTTCTTAATCTGATTTAAGTCTGGACTCAGACACTCAAAAACTTTTTTTAAGGAGAATTTGCTGGTTTTGGATCATCGTCCTGCTGCATTACCCAAGTGCTCTTTAGCTGCAGAGCAGGAAGTGATGGTCGAAGCTCCTTCAGGTTTTTCTGGTGGAGACATTCAGGAGCAGAATTCAGCAGCAGCCCAGCCCATCACACTACCATCACCATGTCTGACTGTTGTTGTGATCTTTTTATGAACTGCTGTTAGTTTGATCCAGATGTAACGAGAATCACAGTTCAGCTTTTGTCTCGTCAGCCCACAGAAAGTTTTCCCAGACGTCTCGGGGATCATCCAGATGTTTTTTGGCCAATGAGCAATGAAAGGAGACACAAGTCCTTTTAAAGACCGACAGCTGAGTGTGAGAGCTGGACTCAAAAATATCCCATTGGTTACTTTCTTACCTATTTTTAATCAGCTTTAATTAATAAAAACATAAAAATGTTTTTGGATTTCGGCATCATTGCTCATGTACCAGTTAAATAGTAGTTAATTAACCTGCATCATATGCATCATCTAACACTGTGCATTTTCTTCACAAGCATCTATAGGATTATTCAAATGAGCACAAAAAACAATCTGAACTAAATGTTGATGCAGATTCAGTTCCTGCTGATGCTGCAGATTTTTAGTATGTCAGAGAATGCAATATAATCACAGCAGTTATATTCTCTCCTCGTCCACCGTCAGCCAGACACGCCTCTGCTTCACTCTGCCTCTGATGGACGTCTCTCACTGTGGGGACAAACATCTGTCTGAATGGGTCTGCTGCAAACTCAGGCAGAGTTATCCCATCTGCTCCCTTTCTGAACTGAAGTGTGGAGAGAAGCTTGGTTTCACTCTGTCATTTAGAAAATGCTGATCAGGACTTTTCAAACAGTTTTTATTAACTACAACAAATGAATCTTTTTAAAAACAGAACTAAATGAACACATTTCATATCTGATCCTATTTGGAGGTTTAAACAGCCTGGAAAACGACTCTTCGTGTGAGCGATGAGGATGTTTTATGGTGCTTTCTGTCGTTGCTCACACTTTGTAGAAATATCGTTTAGTTTGAGATGAATAAAAAACAAAAATGCAGGGTAAGGGTTATGCAAAGTAAAGATGATCTGACTGATCGCTTTGAATATGAATCCAACAAGGTTGATTCAATCATCTTTGTTTTGCTGAATTGGTCAAATTTATTCTTCTGCATGAAACTTGTCAAACAGCCAGTTAATGATGTAATCAATAACTGGTATTGATTAAATCTGAAGCATAAAGGAACATGAAGATCAGACGTGTCCAGACAGCAGTGATAGAAATGAGAGTGCTGTTGTTGGAGAGCTCTTAGTTGTGGGTGTTTGGTCTTTAAAAGGACCGTTTGGTTTGTGGGGTGAACATCCAGCTGGCGTGGAGCTGCTGTGGACGTGATGGAAGACTTTCACAGGTCTGTTTCCTCGACATCGCTGGCCTCCTGCAGACCATCCACAGCCAGGCAGTGAGCGCACACGTGCTGGTCAAAGTGCAGAGCCAGCTCCCGAGCCAACTCCTGGAAGTCCTGACCACGGCTCAGCGTCTCCAGTTTGTCCCTGCAGTCAGAGATGTCCATCGGAGAGAAGTAGAAGCGTGTCTGGCTGACGGTACATGAGGAGAGGACAGGAGGTGTCCTGGAGGTCGGAGTCTTGTTGTTGGGACTAGATGGAGTCTGGCTGCTGGATCTGTGCTCTGTGGTCCTGCTTCCATCCATCGTGGTCTGGGTGATGTTCTCAGTGTGAACTGTGGGACTCTGCCCTTTAGGCTGCTTTATATCGTGAGAGCTGCGTGCTGATTGGATGAGACAGAACAGGACCTACAGGTCCAGGTCTCCATTGTTCAAGTGAACCCCCCCCCCCCCCCCCCCCCCACCCCCACCTCACCACAGGCTGAAGCCATTCAGGAACAAACCAGAGTGTAATCAAAGCTGTTGATTAGTTTTTG